GTTCTCACCTTACTCTTCACCGTCTTCTTCCCGATGGTCATGGTGACGTACGATGACGGTTCCCTTTCAGACTGCAGAGAACAGAACGCGGTCATTGATTAGTTGGGGGAGGGGGTTATAGAACATTCCAGATGCTGATAATATTGATCTACAAAACCCCTCTATCTGTAACCCCCATCGGTCAGCTGACTACAAGATGAATGCTGATTGGTTGTTATGAGATGTCGGCGTTCAGTCAAAAATTCTAAAAACATTTGGCCTTTGAAGAATGTGCACTCTATGACCCCCCCTCCCCCAATAATGGGGTTCAGGGGTCTCCAGTGACGGCGTTCAGGGGTCTCCAGTGACGGTTCTGGTGATCCTCCATCATACAAAGACATTGTAGACAATTGGGATCTTCCAGCCTTGTGGTCACAGTTTGGTGAAGACCCTTTTCTGTCCCACCATGACTGTCCCCTGTGTACACAGCCAGCTCCATACAGACACGGTGTCACCAGCTTGGTGGAGGAACCCGAGTGTCCTGCACAGAGCCCGGACCTCAACCTACTGAGCACTGACTGTGAGCCCGGGTCTTCTCATCCACCATCAGTACCCGACCTCACACATGGGACACATTCCCCCAGACCCCTCTAGAATCTTGTGGAAAGTCCTCCCGGCAGAGTGGAGGATGGGTTAGGTGCAAAGAGGGCGACTCCATATTAATGGCCATGGGGAGGCACTCCATATTAATGGCCATGGGGAGGCACTCCATATTAATGGCCATGGGGAGGCACTCCATATTAATGGCCATGGGGAGGCACTCCATATTAATGGCCATGGTTTTGGATGTCCAACAAGCTGTTAGAGGTGCGATGGTTGGAGGTCCATGTAATGTATATTATAGGATTACAGCCATCCACTAGGGGGCGCAATCTCACTGAGGTAATCAGCTTCATGTCTTCAAATCAAAACATTCAGCTTCTGGGGGAGGGGAAGATGAAGCGAGGCGCTCACAGGACACATGTTCCCATGATTGTAAACACCGGCAGACCCGACCGGAGACAGGCAGACCCGACCGGAGACAGGCAGACCCGACCGGAGACCGGCAGACCCGACCGGAGACCGGCAGACCCGACCGGAGACCGGCAGACCCGACCGGA